CATTGACAATAAAGAGTGCATGTTTGTAACTTGCGAAAAATGTCCGGGATTTGATGAGATAAGCAACATTGTAGAGGCAAAAATAGATGAAGAGGCAACAATTCAATATAAACAATGGATTCATGTTGACAGATCAGACTTAGTCACAATTATTGAAACTCGAGATGAATATATAGCGTCATTGATAGAGAAATTGCAGTCCATAAAAGAGCATTACTTTGTTACGAAAAAACAAGAGCATTATTTCAACAATTTAAAAGAAAAGCTTTTTGAAAATGAAATGATTGTGCTGTTAGATTTTGCTCAAAACTATACGTTTATCATCCAGAATGAAATACAATCTCGTCATTGGGTCAACGATCAGGCCACTCTTCATCCATTCGTTTTTTATTCTCGTAAGAATGGAAAATTAGAAGCAAAAAGTTTTTGTGTACTTTCTGATTCTAAAGAACACTCAGCCTCTGCTGTTCACGCGTTTCAAAAGAAAGTAATTGAAGAAATGAAACTTCTATTTCCACATATAAAACATTTTCATTACTTTTCTGACGGAGCTCCCCAACAGTACAAAAATAAAAAAAATCTGATTAACTTAGCTCATCATTTCAACGATTTCGGAATATCAGCATCGTGGAATTTTTTTGCTACTGCCCACGGGAAAAGCCCCTGCGATGGCATAGGTGGCACAGTGAAGCGTCTTGTAAGAATGGCAAGTTTAAGAGGAGTAAATGGAAACCCTACTATATTAAATGTCGATGAAATGTTCGAATACTGTAAAACCCATATTACAGGTATCCAGTTTATAAAAGTTGATGCCAGCGAAGTAAATGCAACTAACAGACATCTAAATCGCAGATACAACTCTATCAAAACTATACCAGGAACACGGAGTTATCACTGTTACGATCCACTCTCAACTTCTGTACTAAGAATGAAGAAAATTTCTGAATCTGAAGAATTCGAAGATGTTTCCTTCCTGAACTTATAAACGTTTATGTAGAGATTGCAGAAAACTGTAACCAACATTTACCGACATTGTTTGTTAAATATTCATTTCTGCCATTTAAGTACCAAAATGTTTTCAGCCATTTGTCAGTAATTTTAATTTTATTTTCATTCACGACAATTTCGAATATTAAAAAATCCTCAAAAACCGACAAGTTACCAAAAAAACCAATCAAAAGAAATCTTTAACCGACAATTACCAACTTTGTTGGTAAATTTTTGGTTTCCCTATTAGAGTAACCAAATGATTTGGATCATTTTTCAGTTTTTAACAACAATTTCCAATATTGAAAAACTGCAATAAACAAACAATTTGAGACTTTGTTGGTAAATCTTCCTTTTAAGTTATTTAAGTAGTCAAATGTCTTGAGTAATTTGTCAATTTTTAACAATAATTTCGGATATTAAAGAACTGAAAAAACCGACAATTTTGAAAAAAGCCAATTACAGAAATCTGTAACCGACAATTACTGTCATTGTTTTGTAAACCTTCGTTTTCGCCATTTGAATTATCAAATGGCTTAAGTCATTTGTCAGTTTTTCACGACAATATCGAATATTAAAAAACCTCAAAAACCGATAATTTAACAAAAAACCAATTACAAAAATCTGCAACCAACAATTACCGATTTTGTTGTAATTTTATGTTATGTACCAAAAATCTATAAAATGTTACTTTCGTTGAAATTTTAAATTTTGCAAAATTAAGGAGTTTTTTTTAGATTCAGAAGAAATTTGTAAAAATTCAGTATATTAATATGTTGCTATGATATAAAATATTATTATTTATTTTATCATTTATTAAACATTGTTATATTAACCGTTAATTTATTACTATTTCATACACACAATAAAGTTTTTGAAAAATAAATTGAATAATAATAGTTTTAATGTTATAAGTTTCCTTTTAAAAACTATTTAAAAACGAAAAAACTCTTTGTTAAGAAATTTTCTAACCATTATATTTAATTAAAAAAAATTAAATATATTTAAATAAACTACGATTCACACATCAGTTTTAGAACTAATTTTTACCTAAAAGCTAAAACGACAAAACAATTTTATTAAAAATAATCAATTACAAACAAAATAAAAAAATTAGATTATTTTTAACAAATATTAATTAAAGCATTTACAATTACTTAAATTATTACTGCTAATATTTTTTATTTTATATATTTTTATTCCAAATATTAAATAGGTAATATTTACAATTTTACGTTTCAATTTTCATTTTGAACTTTAGAATTAAAAAAATAGATATTGAGACAGCTAACTTCAGTTTTATAAAACTACTTGCATGTTAACCTTTAATTTCGTTCTCGCTAGTAGATTTTTCAAAATGAATAAACTTAAAAATTAGCTCGTTCTCCAACGCCAAATTTTGATAGAGTGGAAAAGAAGATCTAACTTAAATTTTGCAAAAAGAATTGGATTTTTTCATTAACCGCCAAAGGAGATATAATAGTTTAAAATTGACGAAAATCTTCAAAAATGCAATATTTAAGGTAAATTTTTTCCTATTTCTACCATATAGAATTAAAATGTCAGCATACCGAATAAAAGTACATTAAAATTACTCAATATTGAGTAATTACTATTTTCAAAATATTGAAAAACTTTTGAAAAAATTGTGATTGAAATATGACAAATTTCTCCATTTGACATGTGTCTTTAAAAATCAGTTTTCACATAATATTTTTGACTTTTTTACAAAAAAATCAATTAATATAAGTTAAATAGGCTATTTCTCACAAATATCAATAAAAATATTTATGTTATTTAAATTACTTATGTGATTTTTTTTGTAAATTGCAGAGCTGTCAAAATAACCTTTTTTCGGTGCAACTCAACTTAAAAACTTAAATTCTAAATTAAATGGGTTAAATTCCTAAAAATAATTCCCAAAAATGTGTTGTTCGAATATTTAAAATCATTATTCCTGAATATCATAATTTTCTAAAAATAGGTCGCAACGACTTTGGGTGAAATAAAATGGACTGACCCAAAAAGATTATTTTTCGATCCTACGGAGAAAAAAAAATCGTAAAAATAAAAGAAAGAAAGAATAAGAGAAAGAAAAAATTAGGAAAGAGAAAGAAAAGAAAGAACCTTGAATTTTCTGTAGGTGGAGAATCTTCAACGGAGATTTTTCTTATCTGAAGAAATCTGAAGAAATTTCTTTTTGTTTTGTAGAAAATATATAATTTAATGTATTTTAATTATATAATACTTTAAATAAAATATTTATTTAATTAGTAATTATATATTCTTTATTGTAATTCGCTTAACATGTGAGGAGAATACAATTTGAACATGTTGTTCAGATCACGGGTCAGAGAGAAGTGATTGCTCTTGTGTTTTCGTTAGACACGAAACAACTTTTTCTCGCGCCATGGCAACGCGATGTCTTTTTTTATATATTTGAATATTCTTACTTTACTTCTATTGTTTAATTTTTTTAATTCTTTTTTTAATGATAAAAAAATATTTAATTAAATTAATTATTAGGGTAATGTCACATTGAGTGGACCGCCTGAGCGTTTAAGTTAGCTGACAGCGGAAACGTGAAATAAATAGTACGAATAGCAGCACCGCACCTAGAAACCGTAAGAAATTATGTTCCGCGATAATCATATACGTTATCGTTTGATGTAATGAATTTTTAAGAACACAATCCAAAAAAAAAGTCGCTCTTACAATGCGAGTAAAGTGATTCGGAAGTGTAAAAGTAGTGTAAAATTTAAGTTTTAAAAGGTAACTTATTTTTTTCCTGCTACATTGAACATTGAAATTGAACGTAATTATATTTACGTAATTATATTAGTTAACAAATTTGCTTCTCAATACTTATTTTTTGTATTTTTAAACATAGATATAAGATAATATATCATTTCTTCGAATTATTGATATTAAGCTTCAAATTTCATTGTACACGTGCGTTCGACGAATTGTCCCTCCAAAAGTTCTACACTGGAGGAGAAAGATTTTTGTTTATAATATCCCTTTCTACTAAAAAGATACTCTGAATAAAGGAACCTCTGAGGAGACACTCTTGTAAGAAAGACTTCAGTATCACTTGAACCAATGTATATAAATGTATATTTGAAAATTTACATTATTAAAAAGTTTGATTAATTTTTTCTAAATCATTATTAATTGATCATTTAAACCCTTTTTACAAACCATACGAAATAATCTTTCCAGCGATTAACCTCGATGGAAAGGTACTAAATAAAAAATTATTAGTACACCTTTAAACATGGTCCTTCGAGCCGGATATAATACAAATTTATCAAATCATCTATGTGAACATAAAATAAACTATGTGATATAAAAACTTATTAATTTACAAGTGTTCACAATTAATCTGACTGATCATAGTGCATATTTAAACACAATTTACAATTATAAGTGCATTTTAAATAAACATACAATTTTTCGTTAACATATTTGATATGTTATAAACAAAGTGCTTCTTTTGAATTACAAATTGTTTTGCATCATTTTTATTTGAAGTGTCCAATCAAATGATTTACAAAATTCACGTAATAAATCTCGTTTGCATTAAAAATACACTATACGTACAACATTTTTCGTATCATATCTACATATAATGAGATACGATTATACAATTTGAGGCAATGCGTTTGAAACACCTCTTATTTTCAAGAACATTTTCTTCAGGAGGCAGTATAATCAAAACAAATCTAGTTCTCCATCAAATCTAGTGAGGCAATGCGTTTTGAAAACACCTCTTTCTAATATCATTCATATAGGCAATGCGTAAAGAACACCTATATTGATTAACGACAAATTCAACTTACAAGTTTAAGAACAGGACAATACATGTATGTTAATGAATTGAATCTTTATCTTATAAGTGTCCAATTTTTATCAAATAAAAAATATTTGATTTTTTATCTTAAATAGATAAATTATCTGATTATTTGCGTCTGTTTTATGAGTCAATCCGAATACTATATATCACTAACAAAATGGAAGAATTCGATCGTTTAAGCATACTTTTACAAAAAAGTGCAACATTAAAAGAACACATAACTACATTTCGCGAATTTATTACAAAACTTGATTCAAACAATCCTGCTCAAATCACTGAGTTACAATTACGTTATAATACAGTTTATTCATCATTTACTAATATTGATGATTTATTTGATGAAATTCAATTAATTGATTCAGAAACCAATCATAGTCAAGAAAAAAGAATTACTCAAGATTTATATTATGAAACGTTTTCGATTGCACAAAATAGTTTTGCTTCCTACATACAATCAGCTAATGTTGGTTTAAATTCTACTTATCATAGATCTGCTTTTTTAACTAATGAAAATGTCAATGAATCAATTGCATCCTCGACTCGTCGCAAAATTAAATTATCTCAAGCAACTCTTCCAACATTTAGTGGTAAAATGGAAGAGTGGTTATCATTTAAAGACACATTTGACACAATGATAAACAAACGCGATGATCTTAGCAATATTAAAAAGTTACAATATTTAAAATCTGTTTTAAAAGATGAAGCTTTGCGTAATATTCAAGTTTTTGCAATAACAGAAGATAATTATGAACGGCCTTGGAAACTTTTACAAAAATCATATTATGAAGACAAACGAATTTTAATTTCACGTCATTTAAGTTTATTATTGCGTTTGCCTATACAAGAAAAAGAATCTTATACTGGATTAATATCACTCGCGGACGAATCACAACAACACTTACAGTCATTAGCTTCTTTAGGTGTTAATGTCACTCATGAAATCGTCGTTGCTATAATTGAAGGAAAATTACATAAACTCACTTTAGAAAAATGGGAAGAGACTATTAAACGAGGGGAGTTTCCTAGTTTAGAAGATCTCACTGAATTTTTATATAGAACAGCTGCTCGTATATCTAAGAGAAAAAACAATGACTCACAAAATGATAACAATAAAGGAGTTTCTTCTGCCAAAAAACGTAAGACAGATTTTAAAAGGCAAGCTCTTGTTACAACCACTACAAAAAAATGTCCACTTTGCTCAGAATCACATTTATTATTTAAATGTGGAAAATTTTTAGCTTTAAAGATTAATGAACGTTTTAAAACAGTTAAAGATTCTAATTTATGTGTCAATTGTTTAAGAAATCACAAAGTTAAAGATTGCAAATTCGGAGCTTGTAAAAAATGTAATAAAAAGCACAACACTTTGTTACATTTTCCAAAGCAAAATGAACAAACTGATAAAACTGAACAAACTGAATCAACAGAAATTTGACAATTCAATAAACCTTACACAATTTCTTTAAATTCATTAATATTTACATCATCCTTTCAATTAATGACCAGTGCATCAGTAAATGTTTTTGACTTTAAGAAAAATCAGATTAAAGCTAGAGTTTTATTAGACACTTGTGCGACTGCAAATTTCATAACTAGCAATCTTGTTAATAAATTACAATTACCTCAGACAAAGTGTTCATTTTCAGTAGGTGGTTTAAACAACCTTACAACTACAGTAAATAATTTGGTTTCTGTAACTTTCAAATCTATTTATAATGAACATAAACGTACAATCAACTGTCTTATTGTCCCTAATATTACTGATTTAGTCCCAAACCAAACTATATCACGTAAACATTTCAATATTCCTAAAAACATTTTATTAGCGGATTCTAGTTTTCATATACCTAAAGAAATAGATATGCTTATTGGTTCAGGAACCAGCTTATCTTTATTTTCTATTGGATCAATAAATTTATCTGAAAACGGAAATGATTTGTATTTACAAAAAACTAGACTGGGTTGGATAATTGGGGGTGGTTTAGATATTTCTACTAAATCTCGAACATCAGTTGATCCGAAATGCATGTTATCTGATTTAAAAAATTTGATAGAAACTTTTTGGTTTGTCGAAGAAATTTCAAATACATCTTTTCTTTCTGTCGAGGAAGAAGAATGTGAGACACATTTCAAGAAACATGTAACACGTAATGAGATTGGTCAATACATCGTAGCTTTACCTTTTAAAAATAATATAAAATTTACGGGAGAATCAAAACAACATGCATTAAAAAGTCTCACTTCATTACAAAAAAAATTTAGAATTGATAATGAATTTAAATTAAAGTATGAAGCAGTTATGCAAGAGTACCTTGATTTAAAACATATGACACCACTTACATCAAAAATCGATCACGATGGTTTTTACTTACCCCATCATGCAGTTTTCAAAGACACAAGTAACACTACTAAATTCAGAGTAGTTTTTAATCCGTCTGCCGTGACTTCTTTAGGTATTTCACTAAATGAAACTCTAATGGTAGGCCCTACTATACAAGATGATCTATTTTGTTTATTAATTCGATTCAGACTTTACAAATTCGTTCTATTAGGTGTTATTGAAAAAATGTACCGACAATTTTTAATTCGTGAAGAAGATCGAAAATATCAAAAAGTTTTGTGGTTAGAAAATTATGAAATAAAAGAATTTCAATTAAACAGAGTTACTTTCGGTTTTGCTCCTGCATCTTTTTTAGCAATCCGATGCGTGCATCAGTTAATTGAAGATGAAGGAACAAATTTTCCATTAGCCTCCAGAATTCTTAAAAAAGATTTATACGTTGATAATCTTATCACTGGTACATTTACTGTTCAAGAAGCATTAGAAGTTTATAAACAAATAACTAACATATTAGATTTGGCTAAATTAAATATGAGACAATGGGCTTCTAATTCTATGGATATATTAGATGGAATAGATAAGAAAAATCTCGATAATGAATTAAATTTAAATAATGATTCCGTTTTAAAAACTCTCGGTATGTATCGGAAAGCTAAAGAAGATGCATTCATTTATCGAGTTAAAATTGATTTAACAACCAATAAAATAACTACTATCGGTTCAAAAAGAACTGGCCCCTGACTTTGAAAACTTACAACGTAGGTAAAAAAAATCATAGAGAGTTAAGACAAAGTGAAATTGTTAGCTTAATTATCTAACTGTTTGCATACAAAATTTCACAACTCCAAAAAATTTTTTGTTTGAATTATGGATTTTTAATTGAAAAAAGTACATAGTTTTTTGCGTGATTTTAGGAATAGTCTACTTTGAAAGCATGCAGCTCATTTAAATAATATTCAATCGGCATTCTGATTTTTTTCCACAATATTTGTATCCTTCTTAAATATAAAGTGGAAAATTTTTTAAATTTTTTTATTAACTTTCTGAGATTATTTAAATCAAAAATAAAATGTTATCTCTTTTGCGAACAGACGTACAGCTTTAAAATAAAATGCAAATTATGTAAAATGTTTTCCTTAGACAGAAACAATTTGAAAAACCTGGTAAAAAATTTTGTTTAATAATTATTTAAGAAAATGTTTTTCGTTTTTTGCTTTATTACACCATTAAAGCAAGGTGCAGTCGGACATGAAACCCTTTTGTCAACGGTAGAGAGTTCTATAACAGTAGTAAACTACCGCACTTTTTTTTATATGGGGCTTCTATTCTTATTTGTTATTTACAACTTTGAAGACTTTTTTTTGGGGATCTAGCAGTGGTATAGGAAGGAGGGCCTTTGAACGTAAAATATTTTTCTTTCGCTTGTAACACTTTTAAATCAAGTAAAGAATTGAACAATATTCAGACAAAAAAATATCAACAGCAGCCTAATTTTATTTTACTAAAATATTGTGTTTATATCAATTTTAACATTTATAATATTTAATTTGAGTAATATAACAAAATAATTAACTAATTGCAATATTCTGAAAACAACCGCAGGATATCCTTGGAATTATTGTATGATGATATTTGGATATTCTAGGAATATCCCAAAGATATCCTATATGAATATCCTGAAAATATCGTTTTCTTTTTCTGAAAATAGCATTTTCTCTTGGATATTCTAGACATGTCCTTTAAAAACTTACAGGATATTCGAAAGATATCCACAGAATATCTCCAAAATATTCTGGGGATATTCTTTGATATCTTACGGAAACTTTAGAGATCGTCGGTTTGGATATCCTCCGAACAACTTAGAATATCCTGAAGATAATTTCAGGATATCATGATATGATGCCAAGATATCCTCGGGATATTTTTTTGTCATAAATAAATAAAATTTAATAAAATTAAGTTAATGAAAATTTAATTTAAATATACTAACACTGAATAAATATATTTAAAAAAAGTATAAAATATCACATCGGTTATTTAATAATTAACACCATTATAATTTGAATTCTCCTAATCTATAAATACAATAATTGCAAAACGTAAAAGTCATATTTTAAGAAAACATTATTTTCCAGGTGTTTCTCTCTCTCTCCCCACTTCTTCCTCTTGTAGCTTTATTCTTCATTTTTCTCTTTTGAATACAGGTAGTGGTTGTTTCGACTCATTATATTTACATCAATTCTGTATACCTGAAACTCTCTTGGCCGCATGGACACTTCTCTAAAATAAACAAAATTTATTTCTTATTTCTACTTCACTTTGATCGACTATAATTTAACTGAATGTAAATTTTTATTAACTCATTATTTATTTTAGTTATTTGTTATAGATTTTATAAAAATTTTTAAAAATTCACTCTAAACAAAAAATAAATTACAAATTAAATATAAAATTAAGGCAAATTAAACGAAAACATTCGGACAATGAATAAAATATTTATTTACTCCAACGTTTCGAAATCTAAATGATTTCCTCTTCAGGGAGTCTATCCAAAAAAAATATACAAAATTAAACAATAATAAAAATTACATACATAATTAAAAAAAAAAAATAAATAAATAAATAAAAAATAATTTAACAATACATAAAATAAAAATTATTGTATAATTATCTTACCAAAAAAATAATAATTAAAACATACGAAGACTTAAATTTTATATGCCCTGACGATGGAGTAGAATCTGGAGTCAGAAAATTATAAAGGAACTTAATATTCATAAAATAAATTTAATTTAAAAAAAAAAAATATATATATATATAATAATTGAAAAAATTCATAATTAAATTTAATTTAAAAAAATATAGTAATTGAAAAAAATTTAAAAAATGAAATTAGTAACAAGTTAATAACAATAAAAATTAATAAAAATTTAAAATTTATGAAGAATTAGTAATAATTAAAAAATAGTAAAAATAAATATAAAAATAAAAATAGTAAATAATAAAAAATAACAAATAATGAAAATAATAAAAATAAAAATAGTAAAAACATACCATAAATAAATAAATAATCCGTCTTGGTATAAAACCATAAATAATAGTAAATAACACATAGATAATAAACAATTAAATAAATAAAGGTTCACAATACAATAATTCACAATAAAATAAAATAGAAAAATAATTTGTCAAAATGAGTAGAAACGTATTGCAAACTGCAAAGTCAAATTTAAAAATGAGATCCAAACTCTAATCCAGTCATTACAATGAACATTTATTAAACAGAGAAAAACAAAAACAAATAAAAACAATAAATTAAATAAGAACAGAGAATGAAACTCAATGAGTATTTATTACGTTAAATTGCTGGAAATAAAATTCAAAATCATTTCGTACGATTTATCAAAATTATCCAAGTCGGTCATTTTATTTAAACTATTCTCTCCTTCTTTTTTTATGAAAAACATTTCTGATACTAATCGTTTGTTAAGATTTGGTTCAACATCTAAAATATTAAAATCATCCCATTTTATAAAATGTGGAGAGGAATCACAATTAGAATTAGTTAAATGATTAGTAATAGCATTATGATATTTGTCATTTAAATTAGAATTACTCATATGTTCCTTTCTACGAATATGCAAGGGTCTTTTAGTCTGTCCTATGTATGATTTACCACAATTACATTGGTATCTATAGACACAATTACATTGATTGTGTCTCTCGAGTCTATCCATACCAAGCTTAATAAATTTATTAAATTTTGAGTTGACACTAAAAACTGTTTGAATGTTAAAAGCTTTAAGTAATCTTTTGATATTTTCCGATATTGGTCCATAATAAGGAAAAACTATTTTCTTAACTAACGTATTATTATTACTATTGTTGTCAATAATGTTATTTGAAGCTTTTCTGTTATTAATTTCAATAATTCTTTTTCTCACATGATTGTTAACAAATTGTTTAGGATAATTATTAAGTTTTAAATCTAATTTAACTAAATTTATGTTTTTATTATAGAATTTTTTATCGGAAAGTATCAAAACAGTATCAACAAGATTTTTAATAATTGCAATTTTTTGTTGTATTGGATGATTTGAGTAATAGTTCAGTAGTCTTCCTGAATAAGTATCTTTTCTGTACCAATCAGTAATGATATTATTGTTTTCTGATCTTATAATCTTTAAATTGAGAAAATTTATTTCATTATTACATTCTGATTCATGAGTGAACTGTAATCTGTCATGAAAGGAATTGAAGGCATTAACAACTGTGGATACTTTATTTTTTGGAACACATAAAAAAGTGTCATCCACATATCTCTTATATGAAATAATTGGAAAATCTAAATTATTAATTATAGTTTCTTCCAAATCTTGCATAACTATGTCAGCAAGAATTGGAGAAATTGAGGCGCCCATGGGCGTGCCAAACTTTTGTCTATAATATTTATTATTAAATTGAAAGAACATATTGTTCATAATGAATACAATACAATTTTTAAATTCATCTTTAGGAATCTTAGTGAATTTTTCAATATATGACCATCTGCCTTCAATACCCTTCATGACAAGTTCAATAGGTACATTAGTGAATAAGGACGAAACATCAAGAGACAACATAACATAAGACTGTGGGATTTTTAAATTATTAATAGATTCTTTAAAATTGAACGAATTTTTTATATAAGAGGAAGGTTTAGGTAATGACTTGCTTAATATGTTTGTAAAAAATTTAGACATAAAATATATAGGGGAATTTATGGTTGAAACAACAGGTCTAAGGGGACAATTATCTTTATGTATTTTGGGTAGACCATAAAATCTTGCCAAATTTGTGTTCGTTGTTATTAAATCTTTTCTTTTTATATTATCATCCAAATAACCATTGTTTCTTAATTTGTTTAGTTTGTTAACAATTCTTTTTTGTAAGGGAACTAATGGATTCTCAGTAATAAGATCATATGTATTCTTGTCACTTAGCATAGAACCTTAGAACCTTTATAGAACCCCATAGAACCTTTATTTATTTAATTGTTTATTATCTATGTGTTATTTACTATTATTTATGGTTTTATACCAAGACGGATTATTTATTTATTTATGGTATGTTTTTAGGGGAATGTAGTCAAGGTTGGCCTACTGTCTAGGTAGGCCACTCGCGTTTTTTTGTCAAGTTCACTAGCGCCACCTACGCGCATTTTTGTCGAAGCTTGTCTTAGTGAAACCTAACTTTTTGTTCAATTACATTTTCGGAAAATCGAAAATTGTGTTTTCTGTGACGTCGGTACAAAAAAAGCTCAAAAAAAGTTTTGTGCATCATGTGAAAAACCATTAATAAAAGATAAAAAACAAATTGAATCGTCAAGGCAAGTATGCAGAAAATTTGTGGGACTCATGGTTGAAAGAAAAACAAAGTAAAAAATCGAATCCCGAAACGTATTTCTTTATGGTTACAACAATTCGGTAATGTTACTTACTGTCAAGGTCGGCCACTATGTGTTTAAAATGCGCAAAGTTGAGGACGAGCTACTTCATTTGCAAAAACTGCAATTCTGTATAACTCATAATATAATTGATCATCTTATTAATATTTTTATTTAATTTTATTAATATTTTAGTGCAAAACTTTTTTTTATTTATATTTATTTTTTTATATTGTTTATTTTTATTATTTTGTTATTTCATTAAGTTACAAACTGTAAACAATAAAGAATCAATTTTCCGTAACTCCAAACATGTTATTTTAGTTTTTAACGATTAATGCCCTTTGAATTTTAAACATGGCCGACCTTGACTGTAATGGCCAACCTGGACTACAAATTTTTTTTTTTTTAAATCTTTATAACTTTTTCATTTTTAAACCTGTCAATTTACTTTGTACAGAAAAAATGTTCCTATTAAACAGGACTTTCCAACCATATACTTCAATTGTCCAAATTCATTTTTAAAAAAAAGTTATAAACAAAAGTCAAAAAGGTGGCCGACCTAGACTATGTTCCCCTACTATTTTTATTTTTATTATTTTCATTATTTGTTATTTTTTATTATTTACTATTTTTATTTTTATATTTATTTTTACTATTTTTTAATTATTACTAATTCTTCATAAATTTTAAATTTTTATTAATTTTTATTGTTATTAACTTGTTACTAATTTCATTTTTTAAATTTTTTTCAATTACTATATTTTTTTAAATTAAATTTAATTATGAATTTTTTCAATTATTATATATATATATTTTTTTTTTTAAATTAAATTTATTTTATGAATATTAAGTTCCTTTATAATTTTCTGACTCCAGATTCTACTCCATCGTCAGGGCATATAAAATTTAAGTCTTCGTATGTTTTAATTATTATTTCTTTGGTAAGATAATTATACAATAATTTTTATTTTATGTATTGTTAAATTATTTTTTATTTATTTATTTATTTTTTTTTAATTATGTATGTAATTTTTATTATTGTTTAATTTTGTATATTTTTTTGGATAGACTCCCTGAAGAGGAAATCATTTAGATTTCGAAACGTTGGAGTAAATAAATATTTTATTCATTGTCCGAATGTTTTCGTTTAATTTGCCTTAATTTATAAAGGATCTCGGACGTTAAAGATTATAAACTAAATTAAATATTAATTTACCTATTTACAATTCCTCTTCGGAATTATTTAAGGATAAACTTTCTTGATCGTCATCATCACTATCGTCAGCAGTGTTAATAATAAGAGATTCAATTTGCGCTTCAACACATTGATCTGTTTTTCTTGATTTTTCTTCTTCCGCTTCAGCATGTCTAACACAGTTCGACCATAGTAATGGTGTTACATGATCCAAGGCTTCTAAACACAACTTATGGACATTTTGAACTTTGTGAACTTTATTATGCTTTGCAACATAATTTTTGGCAAATGCCCATATAAGTTCAATTGCGTTGAATTCACAGTGAGCGACAGGCAACCATAATAATTTAATTTCACTGCCACGAATTTCTGTTGTTATTTTTTCAAGTAAATATTGTTTTGGATAACGATAACTTCGTGACAATTCTAACAAAGATTGTTTTGTTAAATCATTAAAGTCTTCTGCAAAGTCGGGTACTGGTACTCCACGTTTAATTAACCATTCGATAATCCTGGCTTTTAACCATTCAGCAGTAGGATTTCGAAATTCTGGATCAAGCATTGTATGGTATGGTGCTTGATCTATAACAATTACTGATTTTGGTGGTAGAACTGTTAACACATGCCGGAACCATTCTTCATAGTGTTTCGCGTTCATTTCACCGTGATAATCATCAGTTCCTTTTTTTCCGATGAAACATTTTGAACATCCGGCTACAAATCCATTTTTTCCACCAATATGTAGAATAATAACTCGAAGTCCCGACCCAGATGGCGTTATAAATCCTCCCCGTTGACCAAAAACTTCTTGTACGTTATTGCGATAATAATCAAAATTACTATTTTCACTTGAATCTAAATTTTCAACCCAACCATACTTTCTTGTGTGATTTGCTCCGCACCATGTTTCATCAGTATAAAAGATATTGTAGCCATTATCACGATAGAATTTAATATTACGTAGAAAATTGTCCCTTTGCGCTGCTATTGCACTACTTTCCATCCATACTGGTTTTCTTTTTAGTTTAACATAAGAAAAGTTTAAATTTTTCATCCAATTTCGTAATGTTGATAATTTAAAGTGTGGCAAATCAGGTACATCATTTATCAATTCTTCATACAAAGCTTTAGTTGTCGGAAATTCTCTTCTCACGTAAAAGTTATGAATTTTTCTTCTAATTACTCCTAGTGATGCATAACAAGACATAGTTTTCTTGATTCTCATATATTCTCGATTGTTATTGACGTTATCTTGCGAATTTAATATTGAATGTTCATTTGTTTTTTAACAAAATATATTGATTCATCTATCTATCAATAAATTCAAGAATATTGATTTTAGTTTGTTTTCAAATTGTCACTTTAAAAAAGGTTAAAAAAATGTTGAAAATTAATTTTGAAGATAAAAAATAATTTAATTTATCGAAATGGAGGAATTAAGCAAAAAAAGATCACTGGATTCAACGTCAGAGAGGTAAAAACCTAACGAAATTAAAACTTTTTTCTGACTTTACAAAAAACCAAGGTTATAATTGTAATTATGTTAATTTTTCAAAAATAGAGGTGAAAAAACGAAAAGGTTAAAATCAAATTTTGAAATAAAATCGCTGGACCAAAAGAATAAAGAGGGAAAATGCACAATTTGCAGCGAACAGCAAATCGAAAAAATTATTCCGATGAAAAACTGCAACACGTCAGGGCTTATTCGACATTTAGAAAAATATCATAGTGATATTTACAAAGATATTTATGGATGCACCATATCAGACTCTTCTAAAAAGAAGGTTATTCTTATAAACTTTTTTGAAAATTAACTAATTATTCTAAAAACATTATATTTTTCCAAAATCTGGAAATTAAACCTTAATTTTTTTCTCTTCATTTTTTCTAAAATTGTCTTTTACTAATTATTTTTCAATATTTTATTTTTAATAATTTTTATATTTATAATATTTTTTAGAGTATTTGAAAATTTGTAATTTAAAAAAAGTTTAATTCAAAATTATTTATTATTTTCATTATTATTACTATTAACATAAATTAAAAAAAATAAAAATTAGAAAATTTTCTATTATAGAATAAAATACATTTTTTATGTATAATTTAATTGCTTAAAATAGTAGGGGAAAGGCTTGAAAAAGTTGCCCCAATTAAGCTTTTTTGCTCATAATTCATTAACCCAAAAAATTTTTGATTATTAAAGGCTTCAGTAAGGCTGGTACCTTGGAAAAGAAAAAATTTTTTTTTTGCAAAATGGCGACGTTTTAAAAAAGCTTGTTTGTTGGCACTGGTTTTTGAAATTTATTAAAAATAGTAAAAAAAAATATTTTCCAAATTCAAGATTCCAAGCATAAAATAGTAAAAACGCCTAAAATTGAGGACTCTAGACCTTTTTAGATCAAATTTTAAAAATGATATAAAATCAACGTTTCGTAATTTAGGCTTGTAGGTTACCCACCTTGAAAAATTTATAATAATATGAAAAAACTCAAATAAATTTATAAAAATTTATTAAATTTCACTTAAAATTAATGTTTCTAAACATAATAATTTGAAGTATATATAATAAATTCAATTTAAATTTTTTAAACAATTCATTAATAAATAAAAATTTTTTTTCAATTGAAAATTAAACGAAAAACAAGATATATGGAAAGAATTGGATTCTCATTTCGGACCTGCAAGCCGTGAAGAAAAGTCAGCGTGTAATTTTAAACTCTATTTTTGAAAAGATGAAAAAAATATTAATTCTTTATATTTAAAAAATTTATTTTTGATTATCAAAATTTAATAAAAAAGCAACTTAGAAAAATTTTTAACTTAAATTATCTATAAAAATATTTAATTTGTTAGCGTATGAAAAAGTCACAATTTTAATTATTCAATTTTTCCACAAGTTAATTTTAGAATTTATTTAACAAGAACATTTTTGTTGTGTCTTTTTGCTCCAAAAGATCATAAACAGTAATAACTAATAAGTTGAAAACAATATCAGTCGCGTTTTTATTATAGCACTCCTGCAATAAAAAATAACGCAAGTAAAAAAATCTGCAGGCCTTTCCCCTAATAGCATTTTATAATAAAAATTTTTTACATTAAAAATTTATTTTTGGAATTTAATAGATTTTTGAAGTTATTGAATTTTTAATTATCTATTTATTGATAAAATTTTGTTTAATGTTAATTTATCATGAAATTTCAAAGATATTTTATTTGAATTTAAAAGAATTTTGTATATAATATATATTTTGAATATAACTTTTTTATAATATAGGTGTGCTTCCATCAAGAAACGTTCGATAAGTTGTTGGTCACGTGGTGTGCTAAGAAGTGTCTTCCTTTTAATTTCTTCGATGACTGTGATGAGTCTAGAGATGTGTTCCGCTACCTTAGTACTGAAGTCGAATTACCAAAGCGCAATAAATTAAAATCATTATTCCAAACTCAATTCGAAAAAACGCAGGAAATAGTTCTGGAAATATTGCAAAACAATTCTTCTAAAATTTCGTATACAATTGATGGCTGGACCTCAATTAGAGGAACATCATATTATGGCCTTACTGCACACTTTATTGACGAAAATTGGGTTCCGAGATCTTTGGTTATCGACTTTGTGCCATCTAACGGAAAACATACAGGAAACGACATTGCTAATTTATTTCTGGGTGTTCTGAAAGAAAAAGGATTAATAAGTAAGCTTCAGGGAATAACTGTCGATAATGCCGCAGCCAACACATTATTTATTCAGAAATTAGCAAATCTTTTACGTGACTCTTTGGATTCCGAATTTGAAGCAAATGATTTACATTTTCGTTGTTTGGCACATATAATTCACCTAGCTGCGCAAGATTTTTTACGCCAACTTCAAATCGAAGACGAACATGTTGAATCTGAAGCGTATGAAGAATACGATGATAGTGATTTGCTTGAAAATCGTGAGAGTTCTGAAGAGCAGGAAGAGGAAGAAGAAATAGTTTCTGATTCGAAAGTCATGGTCCGCTTGCGAAATCTTTTCAAAAAATTAAAGTATTCTGAACAACTACGTGAAAAATTAAAATCAGCCTGTGATGTGATGGGAGTAAAATATTTGTCACCAATTTTAGACGTGTCGACGAGATGGAATTCTTCTTGCGATATGGTTGATGTAGCCCTTCGGATGAGAGCAGCTTTGGAGTTTTTATGTGCAACTGATTCGAAATTGAGATCATTTAACCTAAGAGCAACTGAATGGGATCTTTTGAGTTCAATTAAAAAGTATTTAATATCCTTTAAGGCGCTATCTACAAGTCTCTGTGGCGAAAAGTATATAACCTTGCCACTTGTCGTAATAGGTTTTAATTTGTTATTGGACAAATTAGAAAAATCAGTAACCAGTATCAACGAAAATCGAAGAAAAACTTTGACTGATATTTGTCTAGGAAATGCTCTTCAATCTGCACTAAATAAGCTTTTAAAACACTATCGAAAATTTAACTGGATATATAGTTTAATTCTAATTATTGATCCAAGGCATAAGTATGAAACTTTTAACATGACAGACTGGGGTCGCGAGATGGCATCAGAGTCATTAAAAAAATTTGAACGAATTTTCAAAAAAATGTACTCACCATCAGATTTAGAACAACAATCTTTTGAATCTAATGAAGATTCTCAACCAGATGATGACAATAGCGATGAGTTCAATATATTTTCACTTTTTAAGCAAGAAGCAAATTCTGAAACCGGATGGCGAGAAGAAATTTCGAGGTATTTAAAAGAACCAAGAGCTGATAAGAGTACTGATATCGCACAATGGTGGAATCAAAATAAAAATGTGTACCCAAATCTCAACCGCATGGCTAGAGACTTTTTTAGTATTCAAGCAACTTCGGTACCAGCAGAACGGCTCTTTTCAAAAGCTGGACTCATAATAAGAAAACATCGCAACCGCTTGAATCATGAGTCTGCTAAGATCTGCATTTGCCTTAATTCTTGGATATCTTGCAGTTTATGTTCTATAATAAAAGAAAAATTTGATGACGCTAAAATGTAATTCGATGAGTTATATAACATCGATGCACTCGCTATATATTTTATTTATTCGTATACTGTTGTTTATTTGAAACTTGTTTTTATAATGTTCACTTGAAACTAATTGTTAATCGTTGATTGATCGGACTTAAATTTCCATACTAAAAAATTTTTAATTAAAAAGATATTTCTAGAAAAATTAAATTATTTTTTTCAAGCCGATGAATATAGGGCGTCTGCTATTAAATCCTGTAAATTGTACAAATCAAAAGTATCCTAACAAATTAGAAAATATCAAAGAATTTTTTGGTTACTTACATTGGCTTTAATTTTAAGTATTTTAATTTAATGAATATTTAATTTATATTTAGTATATAAATTTTATAAAAATTCTGAATTGTTTACTCCATAAATACAAAATTAAAGTATAATTTTTGTAATCAAAAATGTGTTAAAAATAAAATTTAGTTTTTATTATTAAATTTTTGCCATAAATTTATTTATAAATATAATGCATCTTTAATATAGAGAAAGAGAAAAAGATACGTTTTTACTTTTTACGCTGTAAAATCGGAATTAATTTTTTTTTCGAATTTCCAATTGACATTGACAGGATTCATAATTCTTGTCGTCCATTTTTCTGTATTCTATGACTATTAGAGTTTTACGAAAGCACTCCTAATGGTTTTTTCGTATCCCTTAAAAAAGGGGGGGGAAAGACATTTTGAGATTTGTACTAAATATTTTGTTATAATTTTTTGTGATTTTATATTTTTATTTTATTTATATGACAAATTGTAATTTTAAAAAGTTTTCAGCATGTAAAATTGTATTTTGTGTTAAGTTTACCTGTTTTTGATTCACAGTCATCGAAATGAGCAATTCACAAATAAAAATTCCAATAAAAACTATATAATTATTTAAACAATATCCAAACTAGAATGAAAAAATGCGTGTTACTTAATTAAACTTATTTCATTACTAATTTACAAATTTAATTACTAATTAACTTAATATAAATCCAAAATGGTTTTTTTCACAATGTCTTTTCACCCCACTCCAACCTATAAATTCTACGAAACAAATAAATTTAGCCTTTAAAACTATAATCAAGAATTATGTTGAATTTTTCTTGATTATTGATTTTATTGACTAATCTATCAAGAAAAAGTTGACTTCTATCTCTTGAAGTGCAAT